TAAAAGTAAAAAGTTTTCCCATTCATTCATTTCAAAGCAAGCAAGCAAGCTAGCAAGCAAACAAGCAGCAAGTAAGTAACATTATCAAACATAACTAACACTAATGCAAATATTAAACTTACAAAAACAACAACACACATTGAAGTACACTACACACAACTTAGCCACTGTTCGTGGTGTACGTACTGAACGAACAGTGTACGCACTACATGTAGTGCACTCCACATTAAGCTTAGCATGATTATACCATGCTGTGTGATGTATGAGAGTATGAGGGTGATTAAATGTCCATTGTCTCGAATTTCACTCATTTCCATCTTTAGCATGGCTTACTCTGCTATGCTATGGCGCGATACTATGGGCTGTGCCAGCCAGCTATATTTGTGGCAACTTACTGTTGTACGAATAGCATAAGCATGTTTTCATGAGTGAGCATGTAAGTGTGAGTGAGTGTGAGTGAGTGTGAGTGTGAGTGAGTGTGAGTGGCTTGCATTGTGTCAAAAGTGATGAATAGTTTGTTTGTAGTTGCTTGAAACATGTGTGGAAAATCAAGATGAAAGTCAAAAGTTGTTTGGAATTTAAATGAAATATTTTTAAGCAAATTTTTCTTCCTAGTTCCCAAATAAAAAATTGAAATAAACTTCATTAAAAAATCATTTTAAGTTGAATTTACATATTGTCACTGTAATAACATCCATAATATTTTTTTTTTTTAAACTAAGTAAGAGTTAAACGCAAGTTCATTATTAAATTCTAGAGCGAACTCTTTCAGTACAGAGAGAGAACCCAAAACAATCTAGGACCAACAAAAGCTTCAACGATAAATATAATTGCAACTGCACGCAGCGATGCCGTTGATGAATGTTCCATATGATCTTATGTTTCTTATAAGGGCTCAACTAGCCAGGTGGCGCTACCAAGCTATCTATTCCCTAAGTGAATATAACTTATAAAACTCTATTTAATGAAAGTAAAAGAAAGAAAAGAAAGTAAAAGGTCCAGGCTATATGATGGATGTATAGAAATATCCCAACAAAGTTCCATTAATTTGACTTGTCAACAAAAATATGTGTAATCTGGCGTTATCATGATGGAATACGCTTCTTTTTCTATTGACTAATACTAGTCCCATTGCGTTGATTGTTTCGTTTAAGCGTTTAAACTGTATTCAGAAGAGAACCGAATTAATTAGTTGGTTGTAGTAGATAATTTTATTTCAATCCTACCAAGCAGTTAACCGTCAATCTAGAGTTTTAAGTCGTTTATAAAGGGACACAAATTTATGAAAACTATAAAACATTTACAAAAAATGTTGCACAAAATATCATATTTTAAACAGATGTTTGTTTTATATAATCGAATTAGTGGTGCTAGATATATAGGTAGCAACATCATTTAATGACAAAAAAGGCGAATACTTTTCAATATAAACTAATACTTATACATAACACCTGATATGTAATACTTTATATATATAACATTACAATTATGGATATGTTTGTAATGATAAACACTGCTTAAGTAAGCAGGTAAGTGTTCTCTTATGTTAAGTCTTACTTAACAAAATAAATCATAATTAAAGAAAAAAAAAACTGTCTCAGTTAAGATAATACTATTTATTATATCCAAATCTATACAATCAAAGATACTTTTAACAAAAAAAAAGTGCCTTAATATGCGCTTACATTAGTTCAAATAAAACAATATAATCCTTCTCAATTAGCTAAGAAGGCTATTTTGATACCACATTCCTCGTAACATAAATATGGGTAAAAGGTGGCCATATTAACACCAATCGGACGCATTGATAAAGGCAAGATAAAGGTCAATACCTATATTGGAAATATCGATGAGTATATTAAATAATGTGGCACTAAAGAATGGAAGCTTGAATGCAGATATAACAGTGTATATGTTGCGGTGGTGCCTCCATTTTATAGCACGTTTCTATGCATGGTAAGGTCTAGTGTATTATTAGAACCGATATTATTCTAAATACTTTCACTTTACTTTTACGTACTAATTCGGGGATTTAGAGTATAAGGGTATTGTAGCTCTTAACTTGGCTGCTGAAGAATAATGAACTTAATTTCTATTCGCTTGCCGTCATATATCAACTTTCATCTGTGGCTGGCAATTGCAGAGTTTGGCCACAACCTAACCAAACCTAATTTCTAAATACATTAATATTTCTAGCTTCTTGGGATGTATGAAATTTAATATGGTAATTAACTTAATGTGGTAAATATTGCACTGTTTAAATATTTCTTCACTAATTAGTGATTGGTTTGGTTAAATTATAACAGTTCACAAATTTTAGTATTGTTTATAATTATTTAATACGTGGAGCTCCTGTTTCATGTTTGTGGGGTACCACAAGTCACGTAAGGCATGACTAAGCATACAGCAATACATTTTCCATTCATAGAATCTTAGGTTTACAAATGAGCTTCAACTACAAATTTAAACCAAATCAACTTATTTTTCAACTGAAGTAAAACCACTTGATTAATTATCAATTTAAGATTACTTAATGCACATATTGCATTCAATTAAGTATTAACTTATATGATATGTTTCACCGAAGTGACGCCAATAATTACATATAAAATTATTATCTACTTGAAATAACTGCTTTGATCGTAAGCATCGTAAGCATAAATAAATATATTATGGAGCAAAGACATATTATGGAGTAGAGGTATATTCTGGAGTAGAGATATATTATGGAGTAGAGATATATTATGGAGTAGAGATATATTATGGAATAGAGATATAATGGAGTAATAGTAGAGATCGTGCGTATTATAGATATTTTTATAAAAAGAAACGTTCTTAAACCCATTCGTCTATTTTTTATTTTTTTTTTTGTTTTGTCATAAAGAATATTAAGGATAAAAAACTAATATGATTAAAATATTCGTAGTAAAATGAGTTGATGAACTCAATGATGGAGCACTTAATCTTCACCAGACTAGCTCTTAACTGACTTGGACAGTTGTAATTTAAAAAAATACACTCTACAGATACAGAATATTAAACAATCCAATTTAAAAACACAGTTCTTTTTATGAAAATACATAAATCAGTAAAATATATAATTTATAATTTTAATAATTATAATAATTTTATATATTATATTTTAAATTAGTACACGAATTTTTCAAATATATGGTATATATGTTACGGTTCTATCATAAGTCGCATATGAGTTTAAATTAAAAAATTTGAAAATTTTGAATGTCAGCCTTGAGATCCGAAAAAAATTACCATTGCTTATAGGTGCTTCTACGCGCTTAGTAGGCAATTGGCATATAGAACTCTCTCTCCCTCTCTCTCGACAAACGAAACTTATGTTCTATAGGTTGCTCATCTTTAATGTACTTCTTTATGGCGAAGAAGCATAGACATTATCACAGAATGATGAAACAGCTGTTGTGTATTATATAACAAATAGAGTTAACGAAATTATTTAATGAATTTATTTAAAACAATGTTAATATAATACACAAAGAGCATGGACAGTGCCAGATCGTAAAATATATCTATGTGTTATATTGATTTTACCGTTATCACAGAATTTCTGGAATTAAACTGTACCGCAGCTGTTTGGCTGTATCTTAATACACAACACATATATATATACAGTAAGTAAGTAACTATTAAAATAGATAGTGATTGTTTGTGTTATGTATTATTAAATAGAAAATATCATTGTAGACCTTTTTATTATTATGTTGAAGCTGTTTTGAGCTAGTGCATTTAAGCACTTATACTCTTTTTTAACTCGAGGTTTCTTCAAAACCCCTCTCTACAACGTGACTAGATTATTGTTTATCACTTCATCAGACTAAGCAATAATTGATCTCAGATCTACATACCTTCCCGAGGAGCCTGTAACCATTCTGAGATTTGATAACGCGGTGTTGGTAAGTATGTCAGATTTTGCAAATAATTTCAGGGCTCTATCCTTTATGTATTTTTTGATGGGATCAATCTTGATGTCCCTGAGGATGTCACTCGTCCTAATGAATTGAAAATTAAACTTTCCAATAAACGCACTTATGTATATTATAATATATTACAATAAAAATTAAAATTTATAAGATAATTAGATTTTTTATATATTCTCGCATTTAAAATGATGGAGAAATGTGCATTAAAATTTCGAGTCAAAAATGTCTGCAAATAAAGTTAAATAAATTTTCTGATGTCACTGAATCGCACCCAAAAAATATGCAAATGTGTCGGAAAATCTCGCGTGGGTTAGATATTTTGTATGTGAAAATATTAAATTACACGTTATAAACAACAAAAACCAGAACGCGATAAGCGGTAACGTGCAAGGATACGAGAGTTAAAAGGAGTAGATTGAAGGACATGCGAAGAAAGCAGTTTGCAAATGTGCACTTGTGAAAATGCAAAAATGCATAACTTTTTTCAGTTTGTATGCAAATTGAGTTTATTTTGCAGAAAAAGTCGTGCGAGTAAGAGTGTTTGTGCGAATGCAGACAGCATGAGAATTTATTTGAATTTGTAAACTTTTTGTTTATTTAACTCTTAACGCAATTTTGACTAATAACTTTAACTAAATACAACACAAAGCTTAATAAAATACTTAAAACCCTACATCGCTTCGAAATGATGCAAGATACTTTGATGGTTTAGAGTGTGTGAATCATTGACGAAGGCTTCGTGGAAGGATGATATAAAATATTAGAAAGACGTTTTAAATTTACTGAAACGTTCAGTAAATCCTAAGTGATGCGCACTATCGCTAAAAAGTTAAGACTCTGATCTGGTATCGCAATGGATCTCAATGGTCTACGGGTGGCCTTTTTCGTCTGCCAGCATAATTTAAACTAACCTAACGTAATTGGATTAAGCGCGTAAGGATTGAAAGTGATTGCTGATTTAGTTTGTACTATAAATTGTTTATAACAAAATTAATCAAACACAAATATTCATTATTTTTTAAAAATTTATTATTGAAACATCCATTGTCCGTAGTTGTTGAGAGTTATTTCCAATAATTATCTTTGAGAATATCAAATAAATAATTTGTATTAATTTAGAATTTTGAAATTTGAAATTTTACTTGCTGGAACATTTACTTGTTTTTCCCCATCTGTCTGGCTGGCTTATTCCTCTGTAAATAAAATAAGGTTAAAGTACCACATAAAGTCACATTATAATAAAATTAGTTGATATTCTTACCAAGTTTAGTTTGAAAGCTGACGCTGCCGTTAAACTTTTTTGCTGGTTTCTGTCTTCAGAAGCATTGAGTTCTTTAATGACATTAGGTTTCATTTTAAGTTCGCTAAATAATAAATCTTCAAATCTTTTAATGTCTATTTCTGGATCATTCGCCGTTACCTTCTTATTGGCTGGAGTAAAAATTTTCTGTATAATTTTAACTGGTTTTTTAACTTGATTATGGACATTCTTCTTCTTCATATTCAAACATTTATTTTTTTCTTCCCTTGTTGTTGTCAGTCTTCCATTTCCTATTAACGAAAATATTGGTCCTCTATTGTTGGGAGTATTGTACGATGTCAAACCAAATGTATCAATATTTTTTACTCCAAATACTAATTGAAATTGTCCTGTTTCTGTGTAGGGATTTTTGGAAAAATCCACAATAACCTTTATGAGATCGTTTAATACTATTGGGCATAATATTTCTGTAACACTTGTCGAAGCCGTAAGTGCGGGGGATGAATTTATTTCAATTAAAATTGGATGAAAATTTTCATCAATCATAAAATCACAACCATAAAGCTCGAATGTATTTTTCGTATATATAATATCATTAAGATATGCTGTGGCAATAGTCACCACATTATTTACAAATCCTGGAAATATTATTGTATTATATATAGTATCACTACCTGAAATTTCTTTAATATAACTTTTGAATTCCTTTAGACTCCACATATTATTAGTGGGCAAACGGGTGTCACGATTTGTTGCATTTCCGAAGTTTTTTTGCACAGCATTGTTTGTCAAATGTACTCGTTCTCTTAAATCAGAAATCGTGTATTTATTGGAACAAAGTCTAAGGTAGCACTCGTGATACATCCAAATAAATATACCGTTGCTATGTAAGGATATTAACATATACGCCCTTATGTCAAATTTCGTCTTATAAATCAATAAAGGACGTTCTAAAATATTTATATAAATTAAAAATTTTGTTCGATTCATGTTTAATATAATATTATAAGCAAGCATATATATGTACCGACATACCTATATACTTTTGCGCTATATACTGTTTAACACCATTCTTCTTAGCGATCTGTAAAGCTTCATCAACATCTCTAGTGACAACTATACCAAGCCCACAATTGGCATACGCTGGTTTTAAAATCCATACATTATAAATACCATCCCATTTGAATTGTGGATTTTTTTCATCTAAAACTTCTAGAGTAAATCTGCCTCTTTGCACATAACTTCTAAAAGTATCTAAGTCGATTTTAATTTTTGCTCTTTTACTTAAAACTTTATTAGTGCGCTCGATAAATTCTTTCCACACCAAATGCATTTTTTTAGTACGAATTGTTGCCACCTCATCGATGAGCTTATAGTCATACTCTAGAAATTGATTTTCCAAAGATTGAAGAGCAAACAAGATTGTTGCTTCTGGTATACTGCCTTTGTATTCATCTATGATTTTCGCGTAATATTTATCGTACCTTACTATGAATCGTATAAAATTCCTACATTGCGTGCTATAAAAATCCCTGATGAACTTGTCGCTTTCTTCAAACTCACCAGACAGCCTATAGAATCGGGGAAAATTCAGCACACATTTGCCGTCTGAACGATTATGTAAAGTACGTTCAGCACATTTGATCAAACCAATTTTAGAGGTAAAATCCAATCTTGCAGTACGTCGTATAATATTCCTAAATGGATAGCATTTCTTGAAAAAGTCTTCCTGCGATTTTGTTTGCCAGACAAAATAGGCTGGATATCCGAGCATTAATTTTGATAAAAATGCAGCTTCATATTTATTTCCTTTAGCTGCTAAATTTAGAATTTCCTCTAATTTAGATCCTTTAAACTCATTCTCAAGTGCTGGAGTGTGTTTTTCCAACCATCCACGCATAAGTAAAATCGTTCGTACAGCATTAAAATTACCATAAATCATGAAAATTTTTTTTCTCTTGTAAGCAGCACAGGCCTGACATTTTAACGCTTGGAATTTATCCTTCAAACGTACATGTAAATCACGTATGAATATAGTAAAATCTACGGGCTGATTATTTTTAGTTTCTTCGGCCGCCTCTTCAATTTCGGTGTCAGAAGATTCATCACTGGATTCATCCTTTTCAACAGAGCCCTTATAATATTTCCAACCACTACCCATATCATTGAAGTCACTATCATCTGATTTATAGCCTAAGCCAGACTTAAAAACATGCTTTTTCAAACATGCCGCGTCATCTTTCCCGGCTGGTTCAATAACGAAACCGTTATACTTATATTTTTCAATTCCTGGGTATTTACAACCTAATTTATCCAATCGAAGATTCATTGTACGCAGCATTTGTTCATAATTTTCCATTAAATAACTTGAATAATTTGGATTTTTGGAATTATGCTTACTCATTTCTAAAAAGATAAAATAAAAAATAAATAAATTTTAAAACCAAACAAATAATTTTCATTAAATAAACTTTAAATAAAAAAAATAAATTGTTAGAAGTTTTTTATGACTATAAAGATAGAGAGTCATGCCTTCAATGTATTGCCTAATATCCGGACATGATGAAGACTAGTCCTGGCTAAAGAGGTTATGTCTACTATGACAAGCAAAGGCGTATGCAAAGAGGATTTTAAAGTTCAAATCTCTTATAAAACATTTCGAACTAAGAAAACGGGTGAATTGCGCTTCGTGATAGTATTTAGATCTGAACTCTAGTAATTCAAGATTGATGATTAGGTGTTTGGTACCAAAGAGTGCACATGAGCTATTTACTATAAGCAAAAATGAAAGCTGTACGAATTGCTGATATGATGTTCCTCATGGAGAGAGGAAGAATCTAACATACCAAAACTTTGGGTAAAGTAATATTTTAATGGCTTCTTATAAATTTTCTTATAGATTTAACAAAGTTACTAAGTCAGACTCATAGACTCATGGTTTGACACTCCATTAACGTTTTTAATAAACATTTATTTCGGGCATGTGTATTAGTAAACACCCGACTTAAATAATAAAAACGCAATTTTTTTGAAAAAATATATTTCATTCTTCAAAACAGTCGTCTTTTAGCACGACATACCGAGTCCAACGATATTTCAACATTTCGATACCTTTCAAATAATACGATTTATCAAGTCCTCCGAGATACACATCACTTTTCCATTTCACTTAATCATTTAATTTTAATTTCTTTGCTTTTCTTTTCAAGTTTGGAAACAAATTTACCTAGTTTTTTTTTTTTTTTGATTTTCTATTCAATCGATCCAACAATATATGTTACAATAGTAGTCTGATGTTATCATTTTTTCTTTTTCCAAGTAACCTATAAAAATTATTCCACTTAAATCGTAAAATACACAAGCCAAAATTTTTCCAGCCGATTTTTGAGTTCGTAGTCGTTTGGGAGCACTATTCACGACCTCTACCCACTCACTCTTCTCCGGACTTATTGTTTTCTCTTAGGTGTGAAATAATTGATCAATGTTTCATCAGTTATCGTTACTTGATGTTCACAGTCAGCTAGATTGTTGATAAACATTTCCACATACTGTTTTGAATGACGAAGTCATTGTTGTTTTTGGTCAATTGTGCGCATATGTGGTACCCAACTTGCCGAAAGCGTTTTCATACCCAAATATTCATGTAAAACGTTCTGTACTTGTTCATATGATATGTTTGTCATATCTTCTATTTCACGCAATTTAATTTTTGGATCATTCAACACAATATCATTACCATAATCATGGAGTCTTGCAGCTCCAGTCTATTGAGTTCAATCAGTGACTGGAAGTCTGGATACCAAAGCAAGATTGAATGAAATCTAAACATTTTAATTTTGCTAGTTCATAATTAGAAGGTATACCATAAACAGTGTAAACAGTTTGGAACGTGCAATACAAGTATTATAATATTTCTCTTATCAAGTATCACATCGTATTTAATTAGCATAATATTAGAAAATATTAGTAATAAGACCACACTTTAACAGAGTTGTATTCGCAAACTTTAACTAATTGCCAGGAACTGTCGCAACATCATCGGAAGTTAATATATTAAAATATATTATATATTAAATAGATTACTTACTTAAATATATCTGTTGTCACTACCAAAAGACAGATTGTTTGGATGTCCATAAAGAAATGCACTTTTTAAAATATTTTTTTAGATATTTTAACGTGAAAAATAAATAAATAAATATATATAAATATTAAATATATATATTTTTAAATTTTTTTTATTTATAAAACTTTATTTGCAGTGAATATCAGATTATTTTTCCTTAACAAATTATTTAATATAAATTTTATTAAGAAACGTTCCCTGGTTTAAAATTTAACTTGTGTCTATTAGCATAAAATGAGACATTACTTTTATATATATAAAGACACAAAAAAATATGCAATTAAGCCAAAATAAATGTAAAAAAAAAATTGAAAATAGTTGAGGACCCATGGGAATTAGGATGCATTGTTTGTGTGTGGAGCATCACGAAGGCGCATAAATCAACAACCCACGAAAATGTCTTCAACTGAGACGTTTGGATGTATCTTTTTTGTTTTCACTGCGTCCGCTCATCAAATATTCAAAAAAAAAAAGATTTAAATACATTGGTGTGTTAAATAAACAAAGTGGGCGCTTGTTCTATAGCATTTGCAGCAGAAGAAACCAGCAATCACTTTGCAATTTTTATTTAACAGGCACTTGCAGCATGTCACTGAGACCTGTGACGCCTACGGACTTATTTCCACAAACTATACAATACTTCATCTCAGTTTATCGTTTACGTTAAAGACCAATGCATATATCATATGAGCTATCAATATAAAAAGGGCATGAAATGCTTATACAAAGCATTTGTAAATGATGTTTATAACCATCAAATAAAAGTATATGTAGTGTCGTCTGTAAGTAGATACTTTTTATCAATACAAAATTATTTGCATAGCTGAAAAATAATCTGTCAACTATGACATGAAAAAGCAAATAATTATGCAGACTCTAATATGTTGGTAAAATTACATTTCTATATACTTGAATACTGGCATTATACTATAATTGGACTTGTATACTGGCATGAAACTTGATCAAAGATTCGGCGGTTTTCACAAACCTCTCCACCACCAAGTATGGCTTAGGGTTAGTTGGACAATGAACACTTACTATGTTCTTCAAATTTGGCAAAGTGGAAGTGCAAACTACCAGTATATAAGATATAAGCATGGTATTCAGTGTGCTCCTAATATGAATTCTGGGACATAGCGTTATTCAAGACATTTGCTATACCAATAAAGTACGTTGTCTACCTCTGCTGCACTTGTTATACCGCGTAAAATGGAGTATTCGCTTTTGCAGTCTATCACCCGGCATTTTCATGACATGTCAGATCCATCTCAAGTAAATCCAAAAAATACATAAAGGATAGAGCACTGAAATTATTTACGAAAACTGACAGGTTCATCAACATCGCGTTATCGGATCTCAGAATGATTACAGACTCCTCGGGGAGGTATGCAGATCTGAGGTCAGTTATTGCTTAGTCTGTTGAAATGATAAATAATAATCCAATTAAGGCGTAGGAAAGAGTTATGAAGAAATCTCGCAGTTAGTAGAGAGTAAAAGCGCTCAAGTGCACTGACTCAACTAGCCTTAACATAGTAATAAATATAATATATGGAATATGTATTCAAAAAACATAACAAAAAATAATTACGTACAAATTTTAAGAGTATACAAAAAAATTAAATGAATCGAATGTGTCTGCTATGCATGACATGGATGCATCCAGTCTACGAGACATTAACGCAAAATGTCTTTGAAGACATTTGAATAATTTGTTTGTAAATGTCATCGAAGACCGTCACACATTTGGATCCATCGGTCTGCAGGCATGTGCTCATGTCTTTGAGACATCTTCGATCACAAATCGATCCGTTTTCTGCTGAGTACGTATGTATTCCTTTTTGTTTTTGTTGGTGTTTTAATTCTTTTTATATGACGTTTGCAAAACATGATATATAATTACATTTGTGACTTAAAGTAATAATTAAAAAAAAAACCATGTTTGTTTATTCAAATTTTAATGTTATTTTATGATTCAATATAAAATTAAATGCAATAAATAAATAAAAGTTGATGAAATAATACCAAACAAAACAAGAGTGACTTATAGGCGAGAAAAATGCCTTAGAGCATCAGAAGACATGACGGCACATGTAGTCAAGATATTGCAGACTACATCGGAACCATTGCAGCATACAAAGTAGCATTTTTATTGTTTATGTTGCATCAGTAACAAGAGCAGTTGCACTTGTACATTGCGACTGCAACTGCTAGTTTGCTAGCCACAAATGGAACGGAAGTGTAAACACAAACCGCAAAACTATTTACTTCTGAACTCTGAAGGCATTTATTTGAATTTCACAATCACAAGAAATTCCCTAACGATTTCGAAAAATAAAAAATTATATAAAATTGCAGAAGTAAAAGCACAAGACATTGAAAGGAGATTCAATAAAAAAGCGCAGACTTAAAAAAAGCCACTGGTTTGAGGTTTTATGTCGATGCTGTTTGCTTGACATTTCAATGAAATTGTCAAGTGTATCAATTGTGAATGCATAAAAAGCGCATTTTTTTCTTTTTATTTTTTTGTTGCATGTGATAATCACAATTATGATGTCACTACGACACTACGAGTACGAACGACACCAGCAATTGCATTGTGCATTTTATGGAAATAATTTCATTATGCAAGATGTACAAGATCATGAAGATAGCGATATGCCTGCTTGCTTTATCTTGTCCAGCATTCTATTTGTCTGGTCAATAGCATTACTACTTCAATCACTCTTTTTCATTTATAAAATTTTATTTTTCTTCCAGACTGATATTTGGATTACAGTATATTTGTCTTTAGACTATTTAAATCCTTTCAAAATTTTAATAAAGGAAATATATTCCAGTCTATATTTCCAGTCTTGTTTGTACGAATCGTAGAGTAACATTAGTATGAACCAGCGTTTCTCCGTATTACGTTCCTAGATTTTATTCCATAAAGAAGAAAGAATAATCTAAAATCATGTGATAAATAATGCCTCCACAAAAGAATAGTATTGAAATTTAACAATTAAAAAAAAAAAAATATATATATATATATATATAACTCTAATTAATTCATTCATTTATTCTACAGTTAGTTTATGATTTCGTTCCAAAACCGAACATACAAGTCAAGTACAGCTTTGGGTCAGCTGGCTAATATAGGCACTTGCAGTCTCAAAAAATTATTATATTTTTAAAATTTAATATTTGAAATTATAATAATTTAATATTTAACATTAAAATATTTATAATTATATATAAGGAATAATCTCATGACCTCTGTTAATAGGTATTTGGTATACAGCTGTATGTTTAGCCAAAAATTTAACTACTTACAAATAAATAAAAATTTTTGTGGTCGCTCAAAGTCAGGCTCTCCGAAGGCTCTTCAAAGTGGCTTGGTACATCCGCACAAACCACATGCTAAGAGACCTTAGAATAGACCCGATCAAAAAATACATAAGGGACAGAGCCCTGTAGTTATAAAATTGACAGGCTATCCTACTTACCACTATCTAATCTTAAAGTAAACACTCTCCGCACGGGGAGGTACGCAGATCTTAGATCAATCACTGAATAATCGTAAAACTTATAGGCATTACATAAATTAGTCAATGAGATGGGTGGGACCCTGTAGTACCCCCAGCTATCAAAGAGTAAAAGTGCCCAGTTGCGCTGACTCGAAAAAAGGATCAACATACAATTCACTACTCTTCCCCTAAAATAAGCCGAGCATTTCACAGAGAATATTACTAGACATTAGTTTTTTCAAAATTGAGACGTTTTTCTATCTCTTTAAACAGACCCACCTTAATACGATGAAGAAGCTGGATGGAATATTTCAAGTAAAGCGTTATCAAATTACGCTCTATCTTGCTGAAGATGGCTGCTTGTTTGTAATTGAATGCACAGGCTAGAACTTTGAACTGGCCATTTTATATAGTTGCACCTCAATAGTATGGACTTTTGGCATTCATTCAACTTTTTAACAAGAGACTAAGCAAGGTCTGTGAATGTTTTAAACTTTTCAATACTCTAGCATTGAGGAACTATGTTACTCTTATATGGGTAATGCGTCATGAAGTGCATGAGGGCAATAATATGGAAAAAAGATGCAAGTGTTCTTTCATTGGCCCAAAGCCCTTCTGCGGAGTGACAAATAGTATCACAAATAACTTAATATGTGAACGGGAGAAACAAAGTCTACTTGAACACTGTAGAATCCAAACAGGTATGCTACAGTCAAGAAGATTCATTGATCCTGAACACATCAAAGTTGACACTATTCTTAACCTTAATCTACACTGAACTTCTTACAGGACACTATAGACTGTATCACCACATAAACAATATAGATGCGGTAGAAAATGATTCGTGCCGATTTTGTCATGAGGAGCAGAAAATATAAGAGCTTGTTCTATGCAACTGCCCAGTGGCGGCAAGATGTGGACTTGTTGATCTTGGAAGCGGGATCTTAATCCTAAATCAAATAGGTAAAATTATGCCACAGCAAATGCGATATTTATAAATAGTCTAGAATTGTTTTAGTTGAGCTTTTAGACACACAATGGATCTTTAATCTATCAATATCAACTGAGAATTGGGCAAGTCCTTCAGTGAACTAAGAGCTATAGCGCGTAATATAAATAGTTGAAAATCTTTTGTGGTTAGACTATGTTCTGGAATTCATGTTTTTAAACAGGTCAATAATAATTATAATACGTTATGTGAACAAAAATCGAAATTTGATTGAAACATTAAGTTATTATGAAGTAATAATAAATTAATAATACAATAATGTTATTAATATTTCATATAGTGGAACTTACCTAGACAATTAATACACACTTGTACTACAACTGAGAATCCTTGTTGCTTTTTAGTTCCAAAACAATATTTTTCACTCAAAATAACTCAACAAACTCTTAGTAATGTAATGCCAAACAGACATATCCTGTATGGACAATGAAAAAAAAAACAAATGCTAAAAATAAAAAACTTCTTTAACTTAAATAATTTTGAGGAAAAATTTGAATTTTGACAACAATTTGACAAACTGAAAGTTAAAGCAATTGTTTCTACTTAAAAAAAATTTTTATAGCGTTTTTTAAACACCGGGTTTGGTTGAGTTACTACGTACCTGTAAACACACATAATGTTTACATCTACGATATATTGTTTTATCTGAAGAATAGTTCACTTTTTGTTGGACATAAATTCTTTCATTTACTATATAAACTCAGACGTAAAAGTAATCCAGTTGACGCTCTTAGTTTCCGATATCCTACCGATATCTGCATTTTCATACTTAAAAATGTCAACTTTTTTCAGTACAGATAAAAAAACACACAGTAATGGATTGTTAGAAACCGAAAATAAGCCATACCATTTCAAGTATTCTAAGCCATTCACATACAAAAGAAACTTAGTGCGTACAAGCCTCGTTATCTGAAAAAAAATGTGATGGACGAATTTTCAACTGCGAATCACTGTGAGAAAGAAAAAGAAAACAATTTTTCATTTTTTATTTTGTCTTATATCGTTTAATAACATATTAGCCAGAACTATGGAGCTTCTAAAGCTGAACAGAAAAGGCATCCGAATTGTCATAGGGTTTCTCACTCTACATTGCGTGACCCCGCCATGTGGGCATCTATCGAACCTAAGTATTACAAGAGACGTTAGCTGCAGATTTTGTCACGAAGAAGAAGAAACAGCACAACACATTTTATGTCACTGTTACAATTTCGCTAGACTCAGACATCGGTACTTAACAACCGCCTATCCACTTATAATGGAATTAGGCAATATCTCTCAAAAGGACATAAAAGCATTTTTAACTGCTCACCTATGAAACTAAAGTGGATTTGTTCCAATAATCCTTAAAGGATACAGTGACGTGATGATAAGTTCCCAACCCTTTCAAGATCTATCTATCTACCTGTATAGTATGAAAAATAATATACAGTAGTTCTGTCCGAAAATTGTCATACCCATAAGTTAATGAACCTTCGAAAGTGCAGCAAAGTAATTATTGACGACAATGTGTGCTACGACAGCAGAAGGATGTCATCCATTATGATGACATAACGATGACAAAAAAATAATTACAATGCTCCAATTTTTAAACGTAGCAATAATTCTACAATAAAAACTGAAATACGATTGAAACAAAGAAGCTGAAATCAATGGGAGTTGAGGATTTTCTATCATTTGAAGTTTACTGTACTCACTAACCAATAAAAAATATAATTATTCACTAATGCGTCTAATAAACCATCACTGCAATCTTTTGGTCTTCAGACCAGAACCTTATGCATGAAAATCATTTCCAGTCAATTCAAAAACTGTCTAGAAAAACTAATCTCAATACTTTCCACTCAATATACAGAATTAAGCGTGTATATAAATATTTCTTTTTAATTTATTTTTTTCCATAGAATGCTTCCATATATGACTTTCAGGTTTATTATTTTCCACATCATCTTTCAAATTTTTTACAAATTTAATTGGAGATGACTTGCCGTATTAAATGTAATTAAAGACAGTTCTTTTTTTGCATGATCGCTTATCACACGTGCATTGGAGTAAGTCCATCAGAAGAAAGATTAAAAGATTGAAAATAAGTTAAATTTGTCACAATTTTGTGCTTTTGTTTATTCAAAATAAATAAATTTTAAATAAAAATTTTGTCGAATAATTACTTTCAATCGAAAAGTTTAAACGAACAATAGATCGAAAACTAAACAAATATAGCCAAAAGAGTGATACTTAAATATGTTACAGTACTTAAATATCATAAAGTACTATAGGTTATACTACTAATATTTTCGTATGTCCGAATCATACGAAATAGTTCTCAGCTGTACTATTTTTCAGACGAGATTAATTGAACTTAAAAGCCGTCTCCGCTGCTAGAGTCAGCCACAGCTTTGGAATATTCAGAGCCGCTTTTTTCATTATATATTGCACCGCCATAGTTCTGAGATCCAAGATTTAAGGTTTGGAAGTTTGAAATCAATGGATCACTATAGTTGTTTATTATTTGACTCACTGGCCGATCCGTCTGCATGTACCCATCAAAATAACCAGCAGAACGTCTTGGTTTCTTCGGCATATATTTCGGGGGGTGGTTTTTAATTGATTCTGAATAATTTCCGCTAATTGGAGTTTGAAAACCGCTATTTTCAGTATATATTGCACCATCATACTTTTGAGACCCAAGATTTAAGTTTTGGAAGTTTGAAATCAGTGGATCACTATAGTCGTTTGTTATTTGATTCACTGGCTGATGATTCTGCAATGTCCCATCAAAATAACCAGCAGAACGTCTTTGTTTCTCTGGTAAATATTTCGGGGTGTGCTTTCTAACTGATTCTGAATAATTTCCGCTAATTGGAGTTTGTGAGCCGCTGTTTTCAGTATATGTTGCACTATTATGATTCTGAGACCCAACATTGAGGGTTTGGAAGTTTAAAATCAGTGGATCACTATAGTCGTTTATTATTTGACGCACTGGCCGTTCCGTTTGCATATACCCATCAAAATAACCAGCAGATCGCCTTGGTTCCTCCGTCAAATACTTAGGAGAGTGGTTTCTAACTGATTCTGAATAATTTCCGCCAATTTGAGTTTGTGAGCCGCTGTTTTCAGTATATATTGCACTATTATGATTTTGAGACCCAACATTTAAGGTTTGGAAGTTTGAAATCAGGGGATCACTATAGTCGTTTATTATTTGACGCACTGGCCGATCCGTTTGCATATACCCATCAAAATAACCAGCAGATCGCCTTGGTTCTTCCGTCATATATTTAGGGGAGCAGTTTCTAACTGATTCTGAATAATTTCCGTTAATTGAAGATTGAGTACCACTGTTTTCAGTATATATTGCACCATCATAGTTCTGAGATCCAAGATTTAAGGATTGGAAGTTTGAAATCAGTGGATCACTATAATCGTTTATTATTTGATTCACTGGCCGATCCGTTTGCATATACCCATCAAAATAACCAGCAGAACGTCTTGGTTTCTCCGGCAAATATTTAGGGGAGTGGTTTCTAATTGATTCTGAATAATTTCCGCTAATTGAAGATTGAGAGCCGCTGTTTTCAGTATATGTAGCATTATCATAGTTCTGAGATCCATGATTTGAGGTTTGGAAGTTTGTAATCAGTGGATCACTATAATCGTTTATTATTTGACGCACTGGCCGATCCATCTGCATGTATCTATCATTATAACCAGCAGAACGTCTTGGTTTCTCCGGCATATATTTCGGGGGATGGTTTCTAACTGGTTCTGAATTATTTCCGCTAATTGAAGATTGAAAGTTTTTAAGGTTGAGTTTGATGTTATCTCCCAAATGTGATACAAGACTACGCACCACTTCGGTAAAATTAGTGTGATCAATTTTCGTGAATAAATTTAAATTATTTTCAACTTGTTCAGCATATAGTCTTGATCCTACTGCAATGCAAACATACCAGTATATTTCTTCTGCTGATAAGTCATTTGAATTACATTCTGTTAAGGCTTTCAAAATAATATCCTGTATTTGCTCTGATTCTGCTAATTTTGCAACAGCTGTACTAGGCGAACGGCTTTCAGTTTTAACACAATCGATATTGGCTTTGTTTTGCTTTGATTTAATTTGTTGTGCACATTTATTGCGGATTTCATTTAAAATCTTTTTAAATGACTCAATCTGTGTCAAAGTTGTAGTCTTCACAGAAGAGTGTGTGCCGCTGAACTCACTTCCATCGTAACCGGGCTTGAAATTTCCATCCATTACATTTGAAATTGGGTTTTTAATTATGTTTTGGCTTTGGTTTAACGCGTGCTGATTGAACATGTTGACTGTGGGGTTATCTGTTACCATCTGGCCCTGTTGTGCCACTGAACCCATATGAAAATATTTAGAGTTCTGCTGTGCCATGCGGATTGACATATATTTGGATATAACGGCAATAAGTCCATTCATTTTGAAATATTCCGCTGCATTAGCTAGGCCAAATATACAATTTTCTGATAGACTATCGAAAAATTCCTGATCCCATTGAGGCACAACCAATGTATGTAAGCTAATGGCGTTTCCAATACCGAAGAAATCATCTTGATGGTAATCAGCCCAAGTTAATAAAGCGCTTAGTACAATGGAAGTGAGATGTGGCAAATAAATTTGTGCCCTGCCTGTGTAATTCTGATATGCAGTTAGTTTTTCGATCGTCTCAGAATACTTTAGCAATGCCGATTGTGTTTTAATGAAACGTTGATCTGCTGTACAGAAAATAATCTCAAAATTTTCTAATATCATTTTGAAATGAAATGAAAAGACCAAATATGTACTCTTCTGTACAGTCAACTTATGAACGTTTGTTAATGATATAGAAAAAAAAATATTTGACATATTTGACATTTAGTATTTGACATTTGACATAAAGAAATTTGTATGGATATGCTTACATATCCACACAAAAATACACATATTTACTAGTGCTATTCGTATTCGATTTTTTGCCGTCTAGGAATCCAAGTTGGCAAAAGACAGAGAAATCTTTTTTTAGTATGCAAATTATTTTTATTAATATTCGTATGAGTTTTTTATAGATTAATTGTTTCTTAAAAACAAAAGATATATTTTCTTACGCCAATCCTAAGTCAATTGTATATATTAATTTTAAGTGTTTAGCTACAATACGGTTTATAGCTTACCACAACTATACATGTTTTGTTTATAATATAATATAATTTATGAAGCTAAAAAAATAATTTATATATGAACTGATCTTGATCTCAAAACTCCGGATACAGCTGTGTAAACAAAGAATATGCTGTGTCAGCTATATGTCAATTGTAATGGAATTTTTAGATGAACCTATACCTATAATGTATGTTAACTGTATATTTGAGGTACTTAACTTAGATGTAAATTCAACAAATCTTTATTGAAATTTCATAAATCTTTTTTGAAGATTCTTTTTAATTGTT